CGCCGTCGTGAAGAAAGGATTCTAAATAAAAATTAAATTAACAGAAAATTAGTTAAGCAAAACGAGTCGAGGGATTTCTGACAAAATATAATCAGGAAAACAGCAATTATGGGGAATCGCCAACCCTAGACAAAAAACCTTTCACGATAAAAACAACCTTGACAACCAACCCAACCCTAACACCAACAAGGAAGACACTTTCGATTGAGAGAAATGAAAAACAAACCCATTGATTTAATTGAACGTTTCTTTGCACCAGCAAAATCTTCAACATATGGCTTCTTGTGCCTTCTAGCCCATTGATCAATCTTTAAAAAATTTTAAATTTAAAAACCTTCACTTATAAAAAATACATTCATTTGTACAGCAACATAATTCCTCATTTGACCAAGCAATATTTTTTCAAAAAATAAAAGGGAAGTGTTCCAACATTGCAAAGAGGAATCTTTGTATGAACAACGATTTCTTTAATAAAAAAAATTTAAAAATTAATTTACAAAAAATTTTCCCTCCTTACGAGCATCCTCTAACTGTAGAATTATCTCCAGTTTCAAAATTTTGTGTTCTAACAATTTGTAGAATGCAAAGGTTGAGGAATAGAATGAGGAGGCATTTGGACATGATCGAAAGCTATGGAATTAAAAAAACAAAACAATTTTTTTAAATTTTGTCCAGAAATATTATTTATAAAATCTTCATAAATAATTTAGGTATGGATTTATGAAACAACATTTTCAAAAAAATCAAAAAAATTTCTTTCAAACTTTTATTTAAATCTAACATACTTAAATACATACGATTCATAATTTAATTCTTTAAAAATATTTAACTCATTAAAAAGCTGACATAAATCGTATATGTATTTTTAGATAAAATATATATAGGGCGAAGTTTCAAATAGGTCGAAAATAAACATTTTTGGTGTTATTTTTATTACTATCATAAATTTAAAAAAAAAGATATGGCACTCTCGTCTAGAAATAATTCTAAAACAATACAAAAAATGGTCCAAAAATTTTTTCAAGCATCAAGGATAGCCATACCTTTTTTCAAATATTTCACAAAAAATATGTGTTTAAAATAAAATATGTATAATTAAAAGGAAAGAGAGGTTGTTGAAGAGAAATTTAATTTTAAAGGAATTTTTTTAAATATTTATTTTTGTGTGTGGAGATCCGGGAAAATAAACCAAAATAAAAATTTCAATCAAAAAAATTAACTTTTATTTATTTATTTTAACTTCTTTTACAAAGGCACATGACTGAATAAATAACTAACAGATTCACCATTATGTGTACGACGAATTGCTTCAGCAAGAATCATTGAAATGTCAATACACTTTAAAATAAAATTTTATTCTTTTCGTATAAGAGAAAGGGATAAGGGCAAGGTTGAAAAAAGACGTATCAGACATTAAGTCGAAAATAAATTTTGTCTTTCGGGTCGGGCCAGTTAGGGGATTAAGGGTAAAAAAGCTAGGTCGGAGCCAAGTAACCCGATAATAATCCTGGTAACCCGACCCATCTCCGATGAGAATCCTACCCAGACCCCATCAGAAAATCCTGCCCAAACCCGCTCAATAATTATAAATCTTTCCTATATAAAAACGCTCATTTTAAAAAATTAAAATTAAAAAAATTAAAAAAAAATTTAAAAAAATAAAGAAAATTTTTCCAACTTCCCAAACCTTAACTTTACTGCAACGTTTCATATTTTCTTCTTGTGGAATTGTATTTGTTACAAAAACAGATTCAAACTTTGAATTATTTAAACGATCAATAGCTGGACCAGAGAATATTCCATGAACACAAAAAGCATAGATTTGACTTGCCCCAGCTTCGTTTAATCTTTAAAAATTTCTTTTAATTGAAAAAGCAATAAAAAAACTTTTCTGCAGCCAAAATTAAAGTTCCACAAGTATCAGACATATCATCAACCAAAATTGCCGTTTTGTTTGTTACATCACCAACAAGTGTCATCTTCTCAACTTCATTAGCAATTTTTCTTTCTTTATGGATTAAAGCAAAATCGACGTTTAAACGATCCGCTATTGAGGTTACACTTGAAAAAAAATTTTTTTGAAAATTTTCAACAATTTTTTTCTGAAATTTTTTTGGAAAATTAAAAAAAAAATTTCCTATTTCAAAATTTTCTAAAAAATTTTTAAAAAACTCAACCGTTTAGCTCCTCCAGCATCAGGAGAAACAATAACAGCTTCCTTCCAATTTGGAATTGTTTCTCTAATCGATTTTAATATTGCCGGTTCAGCATATAAATTGTCCACAGGAATATCAAAAAATCCTTGAATTTGGGAAGCATGCAAATCCATTGTAATTATATGATCAGCCCCAGCAACTGAAAGCATATTTGCAACCTTTAAAAAAATTTTTTTGAAACAAAAAAAAATTAAAAAAAACTTACAAGTTTAGCAGTAATTGGAGCTCGAGATTTATCCTTTTTGTCTTGTCTTGCATAAGGAAAACAGGGAATAACTGCTGTAACACGAGAAGCTGAAGCTATTTTACAAGCAGAAATCATAATTAAAAGTTCCATCAAATGGTCGTTTATCTCGCCGCAACTAAAAAATTGTATAATTTGTGTTTGTTGAATTTGAGGTTTTTAATCTTGACCCAGTTTTCTATATATGGCCTGGGTAACTCTGGGAAAGCCTTTGGTTACATCTTATTAACCCTTTATTAAAATACCTAGGTTTTTCGTGAACCTGCGAAGCTTACCCCTAATAAGCTTCGCAGTCCTTCTTAAGCCTCCCAGGATTTTTCCTAGAAATTGAGTGATTTGACCCGAGAATGGATTCAAAAATTCAGTGACCTTTTTAAAAAATCTGGATCATTATTTGAATAAAAATATTTAAAAAACCAAACCCGCTCTGTATAATATAAACGTCCTCTCCTCTAACCGATTCAATAATTTCTACATTTGTTTCTTTATTGCTAAACTTTTTCAAAACAGCTTTGGCTACATCTAATTGTAATCTATCGCAAATTGAGCGGGCCATTTCATAATTCGACGAACCAGAAAAAACTGAAAAAATAAACATTTGAAGGGACTAAAATTGTAATCTCGTTTGTGTGCGACATTTCTTCTTAGGAGAACCATAGACCCACAATATTGGACACCCGTTATGGGGTCGATTAAAGAATATCCCACACACACACAAACTAGACCCCCAAAAATTAAATTAAAAATAAAAAGAAACCTTTAATATTAGGCATTCTAACTTTAACGTAAGATTCAGAATCAGCTGAAGGAGGTTGAAAAGAATTTGGCAAAGAATTTGAACTTGAAGATGTTGTTGATGAAGCGCTGCTAGACTCTGAATTGGTTGAAGAGGACGTTGTGAAATTTGAAATAAAAGGCGGAAAATGCCCTTGATGATGATTATTTCCAATAATATGTCTTGGTGACGATAAAATTTGAAATTGTGAATCTTTTAAAAATTCTGGCATTTTAATTAGTTTTTTAGTAAAAAATGTTTTTAACATAAATGACTAGAAAATTTTGTTTAAACCAGACAATAAAAAAAGATAAACATCTCTCCCTGTACCTAAAAATAACCTTAAAAATAGCCTTGTTTGCCTTTTGTTTTGACTGCAAATCAATTTAATGAGAGAGAAACTCCCCTATAAAAGCCTACCATTGAATGAAGGAAGTAACAATCAACACAGGAACAAAGTACAAATTGAGGGTGGAACGTGATGTTTTTTTTGACTAACCGCAGACAATAGTACATTTTGTACACAAATATTGTCACAAAAAAATTAGAGAACTTCAAAGGACCGAAAGGGCAACTTAAAAATGATCAGGATTATAATTAGACAAATCTGAAAACGTTGTAAAATGGTCAAATTTAAAAAAAAATTATAAAAGGGTAAAAAATTGAAAATTTTCATAAGGGTAATAGTTTAAAAATTAAAATACTGTATTTTGACGAAAAAGTTTCAAAACGTTCAACAATGATGGAAAATGACCAAAACGTCATCAAAGCTCAAAGCAAAACACAAAATCCCCATTTAAAATTTTTAAATTTAATAATAAAAGGCAATTTTCATTTGTTCCCAAAAAATATTTATTTAATTTTTGCCTCATTTTCTACCCCTTAAGAATACAAACATCAATCTTTTTTAGAGCCATTTTAGTAAATTTTTTTAAATGTTTTAAATGAATACCAAAAAAAGAACTTGACAGATTTTTTAATTTTGCTTTGTTAAAGCAATCAAAAATGGATATATTCTCTCTTTCATTTTTAACCACATCAACTGGCATTGAGAAGGGGAGAATAAATGAGTAGATAACACATTTGTGTGTGTTTATAAATGCCAGAAATTGCCAACAAAAAATGCCAAATTTAATCAAAAATGAAGGTTCCTTTAAAAATACGCTCACTTCTATTATTAAACTATTTTTTTGCTTGAATAATTGAAGTAAATAAAATGCTATGTTTATTATACCAAAAATTTTTGGGCGAGATAAATATAGCTCACAAAGTCTCGTTGATTTTTGATAATAATTTTATCTACCAGGTGATGGAGGCTTTTGAAAATTATTTCACTTAGGGACACTTAGAAAAATCATTGGACAAATAACCCAAGGTCCTTGACTTCTACAATGTGATGGAAGCCTTTCAAGATTATCTATTTAACATAGAGACACACATACACAGAACCCAAAAACAACCTCAAACCCAAAAACAACCTTCTACAACCTCAAAAATTGTTCAAAAACACCTAAAAATATTCTTTAAATTTCAGCAATTTTAAGTATTTTCAAGTTCCTTTCCCCTCTCTCCCTTCCTTTAAAGAGTCATTTCCTTCCTCCAACCTATCTCTTCCATTTATTAACCATTCCCTTTCTAATTAGACTTGCTCCACCTCCTCCCTCTCTCACCCCCACAAAAAATTTTTAAAAAATGGCTACTATATAAAACAATGTTTTTAAACTCATTTCAAAGCTTTCTATTCATTCACATTTTTATAAAAATTGCCAAAAAAATTTCTAAAAAAGAAAATGTATTTTCAACTAAATTTTAAAAGTATTACCCTTCTTTTCCCTTTATTTCACCTTTTTTTATTTTTACATCTGTGCCCTCAACAAATTTTTATTTCCGCTGGATTTGAATTGTTAAGTGAGGTATAATTTAATTGTAATTTAATTTTAAATTTCTATTTTTGGAAAGAATTAAAAAAATCTTTTTTTATAAAGGAAGAACCTTTGGAAGATGCACACAGGTCAATAGACAAAAGATCTAGTGAGGAATACGGTAAGAGAGAAGAAGAAAAGGGGGAAATTTCGAAAAAAAAATCAGAAAATTCATTGAAAAATTTTCAAAAAAAAATTCAGAAAAAATCGCGAAAAAATTTTAAACCATCCCCTTTGAATTTCAAAAAAATTCTTTTCTTCAGAAGAATTCATAAAAGGAAGTGGACGTTTACCTATGGGCTTTGGAAAACGTTCAGCAGGACAACAAACAAATAATTTTCTTCTCCCTCCATTTACATCAACAAGATTATTAAAATCAAATAATCAACAAGGATTTTGGGTTATTCGTCCATTTATTTATGGAATGCACCCAATACCCAGAGATTGGACTGTTTAATTAATTAAAAGACGAATTCTTAAAAGAAAAAAATTTTTTTAATTCGTAAATTAAATATATAAATAATTTAGAAAAAATAAAAATTTTGGAAATTCAATTAAATTAAAAAAATGCTGGGACAATTTGAGAAAATAGAGGGTTGTTGTTGACGACCGGCTGTTGTTGAAAACCGCTACTCTCAGAGTTTCCGTTAATTCAAAATTTTAAAATCCAGGTTTTCGGTTTTAAATTTTAATTCAAAAATTTTCTAGTTTAAAACTCGTCGCCAACAACCCTAATTAAAAAAATATTTATAGGACTATTAAGAACCAAAAAATGTGAAATTAATTAAAAATTAAAGGTTTCAAAAAATTAGAAAAAAATTACCCAATTATGTAAAATAAAAAATAGCCCTCCTCCTCCTCTCTCACTTAAATATTCTCTTAAAATTCATCTTTCCTACTTCCCTTAATCTCATTAATTTTATTATTAGTTGGACTTAAAAATGTACTAAAAAATACAGAAGTTTTGACATTTAGTGTAGCATGCCACCACTTTTTTAAGAGAAAATTTAAAAAAAATTTTGTTTTCAAAAAATACCTTGTCAGGAAAATAAATCAATTCTCCAGGGAGTAAAAGACAATTTAACGGTTTTTCTTCCAAAGGCAAATTTAAAAATATTTCTTTCATCCATTGTAAGGTAGAAACATTTGGATCCCATTTTGGACGTTTTTCAAATGGAGAAAGAAACCAATACTTTAAAAACAAAATAAAAATAATAATTATTATTAATGGCTATTTAAGGTATTAAAAGTTAAAGGTCCGAAAAATAACCAAACTACCCGAAAAAATTTTTTTTTGATTTAAAAAAATTTTTGTCAGAAAATAGTCAAATTAATTTTTAAATTTAATTTGTTCGAAAAAAATTTAGGAAAAATTTTTTCCTAACTTACTTTTGCTCCAAATATAACTTCTGCAAAACCAGGTCCGTGAAAATGAAAGGGAACACTTAAAATTAATTTTAGAAAATTATTTTTTCAAAAAAAAAAACCCAGTTCCAACAGCAGCAATTCCAAAACTTAAAGCAGATTCGTGTCCAGGTAAATTCCAAATAGGTAATTTATATTGGTCTAATAAAGGTTTCCACATCTCTCTGTCAATATCACCAAAAAGATAAAATGTTTCTAGAAATGAAAGAAAAATTTCTTAAAAATTTCTAAAATTTAAACAAAACCATTTGCAGGAATATTGATGTCTAAAGGCTTCAAATATTTTTGTAAATAAACACCAAAAGTAGTTTCCACTGAAAAATTTTTTTTGAAATTGTTAATATCACAAAAAATCACTCGCCTTTTGAATAACTTTAAAAAACATTTTGATTGAAAAAATTTTTTAAAGAAAACCTGTAGGTATTAGCTGAAGCCAAAACAACAGGAAAATTGCTCCAATTGACCAACAAATTAGATTTTTGAAAATAAGGCTTTCTAGAATTATCAAAAATATTTGTAATAATTAAAGGCTTTGAATATGCATAACTTTAAAAAAAATTGAAAAATTTTTTTAAAAATTTTCAAAAAAAAACTTTTTGAGAAAATCGTCTTGACTAAGTCTAGTTCCATCAACTCTTTCAATAGTACAATTATTTTGTTTTAGTAAATAAAATAATTCATCATCATTATCGTTCCTAAATTGAGGAAATGAGATAAATAATTAATTTAAATAAAAAAATTTTTTGCATAAGAACAAAAAATTATTTTAGCAAACGAACATCCATCCCCATCTCTCTCCAAATTTTTTCAATAGTACAATTATTTCAAAAAAATTTTTTTTTATTAAAGACACCCCTTCCCCCTCTTCTCCTCATTTTTAAATACTCAGTAAGGTACTTGTCGACCAAGTTATTTACCTGTATCCTCGGTTTTCGATTAATACAAATTTTTAAAAAACAGAGGTTTTCGGTTTTGAAAATTGCTCAAAAAATTTTTCAAAAAAATTTTCGGGTTTTAAAACGGGCCCTCAACAACCATAATACATAGCAAATTTCCTCCTTTATTTTTTATTTATTTTTATTTAATTTTGTTTTATACACATCCCATTGTTTTATATACATTAAACTTGTTGCCCTTTTATTTGGTTTTTAAACCAATTACAATCACATTTATTTGTTTCAAAATTTAACGCCTGAATGGCAGATAAATTTTATTATTAAATGACCCAAAATGCCCTAAAAGTTCACATTTTTATGCATTTTAAATTTAATCCTAATCTACTTTATGGAGAATTTTTTTCTAGAAAATGAGATTAAAAGCCACATTTATTTGTTTGTTACAATTTTTTATCAAAAATTTTTCAAAAAAAAATTCCGGGTTTTAAAACAGACCCTCAAAAACCCCTAATTACCCAAATTTCCTCCTTTATTTTTTTAAAATTTTTATTTAAATTTACCGACTGACCACCCACCGTTGCTGCTGTCAACGTCATTATTTTTCCCATCAAAAAAATTATCTTTATTTTCTTCTTCCAAGTTTGAAGTAACAAAAATATCATCATTCTCCACATAATTATTTTCTTCAATCTTTTGTTCTATTGTAACCATAATAAAAAAAACAATTAAAAATGCCAAATCTGAAAAATAAAAATAAATGATTAATAAAAAATAATGTGAAAATCTTTTTAAAAAAATAAAATTTATTTTATTATTAAGTAAAGAAGCCTCAAAAAATAATTATTTTTATTTTTGGTATTTTCCCTCTACTAAAAATATAGGAGGATATATAAAAATAAAGCTAACTCTCTTAATAAAAATTATTTTGAAAAAATAATATTCTCGCTTATTACTTCCTTAAAAATATTCTAGTAAAAAATCTAAAAATCCAAAAATTAAAATTATTTTACAGTCAATCCCCCTTATAATCAAATATCAATAAAAAAATTATAAATTCTCTCCCCCTCTCTCAAGTACTTTCTAAGAATTCTTATAAAATATTTTTTAGATAATTAAATTTAAACAATTAAATTTTAATAAAAATTAAATTAAAAAATTGTGCCGCGCAAAAGGGAAGAAAAAATTAAAATTAAATTATTAAAAACGTAAAGAAAAAATAAAAATCTAAATTTCTTTTTTAAATTCACTTTTCTCTTTTATTTTACACAACTCATTGAGAATTTTAAGATAAAAATTGTTAAAAATATGAAGTTCTCTAATAACAAAAAATTTCACAAAATTTCTAAAATTTTGATCATTTCTTCAATTTTATTTTTAAATTTTTTTGTGAATTGTTCAACGGCAATTAGAACACAAAATGAGATTTTGGAGGACAATTGGGGAGGTAATAAAAAATGTTGGATGTTTTTAATTTTTATCAGAACCATTTTTATCAGAAGAGTGACAGTTAAAAGCAGTTAGGAATATAAGGCGTTAAATTTGGTCCCAACTCCTACTTTTCTCAGATTCTTGACCCAGGCCATCTCAAAATCTTAGCTATGGCCAGAAGCCGCTCCAGGCCCTACTTCTCTCTGGTTATGAGACCCGTTTAAAAAATGATGATGGAAATTTGTTCAAAAAAATTTCCTGAATTTTGAGAAAATAAAAATTTAAAATAAAAAAGGGTCTAACACTCCCTTAAGGTTCTGATAAAAATTAAAAAAAACCCAAGCAAAAAAATATTAAAAAATTTTTAAGACGACACAACAAATGCAAACCTACAAAGAATGGTTGATGATTTGTATCCAGCGTCCATGCTAACGAGTTTAACAGATCCAGTAGAACTGAACATGATTCGGTGGTAAGCAAGAAACTAAAATAATTTTTAATAATTTTGAATTTAAAAAACCAAAAACATTTTACCGAAATTTCCAGGCAACAACCACCAACAAAAAATAAAAGAAGTAATCAACCGAGTGTAGGCAAACGTCTGTTTTTAGCAAGAATTGGAAAACGAGGAATGATGATGCCAATATATCGAGCTAGAGTTGGCTAGAAAAATAAAATAAAAAATTAAACGAATTTTTAAAATTGAAAAAAATTTTAAAGGAAGCAAAAATCCTTTTTTTTCTGTTTTTATATAAATATTAAAAAATATTTTTAGTTTTATTTTAAAAAAAAAATTTTTTTTTAACTAAAAAATCTAAAACAAAAATAATTCTAATCCAAACATCGACTAATTTCTTCTTTAAGTTTTCCTTCCTGAGCAAGTTTATTGAGTTCTGTAAAACCTTTAAATAAGAAAAGATTTAAAAATAATAAAGCTCGAAAAACCTCCAATAAAACTTTCACAAATAAATACTTGAGGCATTGTTTTATGCCTGGTAATGTAAACTAATCCATTAACGCGTTTCTAAATGAAAATAAATTTTAAATTATTTTTTCTTTGGAAAATAGGAACCCCGACACAAAGTTCCTATATATTTTGTTACAGAAGCAGGAAATGACCTGAGGAAAAATTCCGCCCAATATCGGCTAATCATGAGAAATCAGCATGTCTGGAATCCCTCATGACAGAATTTGAGGACCCGCTTCCGTAACAAAAGTTTCAGCACACGCCCTTCCTCCAAACAAAAAAAATAATAAACGTCATGACATTTCGTCGACCTGGAGTTCCTCAGGGCAGAACCAGCCCCCCCATTCTTCTAACAACTTCTTATTGTTAGACTAACAATTCTCACCCATCCTTCTCTCCCAAAAAAGAAATATTAAATACCATAACATTTCATCCCACCTGATATGTCTCAGGATCTTCACGTTGCAAGTGTCCCAATTCGTGTTCTTTATAATTAATCCTTTCCTTCTCAAGTAAATCTTTTGCCATTTTACAATAACCACATTCTGATTTTGTGTAGATAACTACTGGACATTCTCCAATCTTAAAAAAAATTTTTAATTTAATAACTTAAAAATTTTACATACTTCCTTTTTAATTCCTTTCTCATCCACTTTTTCAGATAATTTGCTCTCAGCTGCACCCATTTTTAAATATAATTATTTTTAAAATATTTAACCTGTAAAAAACATAAATTTATAATATTAGAATTTTTTAAATTTATTTTCGAGAAAAATAATTAATCGAATTTTAACATTTTTGAATAAACAACAAACAAAAATTAATTCAATTTTATTTAAAAAAGGGAGTAAATTACAAAGAAAAAATCAAAGGGGAAATTAAGGGACAATTATTAAGTAATTATGCTTGCGAAAAAATTTTTATTATGTTAATTATTAAGTAATTTATTTTTAAATGGCATTTTCTTTTCTTCTCTCTCATTTATTGAGGTAAAATACAAAAAATAATAATTATGGCCATTTTTTTCTTTAATTTTGTGGAGAATTATTTGAAGGTTGTTGTGGTTGCATATAATTCATTTGGAACTAAAAAGTAATTTTTTAATTAAAATTATTGGTAAAAATAATAGAAATAACCCTAGCAACTTAGAAAATTCTTCAGAAAATTTTTAAAAAAATTCATTGCCCTTCTCCCGACCCTCTCCCTCGTCTTAAAATAATTTTGAAAATTCAAACCAATTGTGGATTATATCCAGCTGTCAAATCAAATCCACCTCCCATCATTTGATGTTGTAAATCTGCTTGACCGTGTTGAAGCATATTTGCAGCATATGGGTTATTTAACATTGAACTAGCTGCAGCGGCAACAGCAGCACTAGCATTGTTATTTAAGACACCATAAGTTGTTGGTACTTAAAAAAGGAAATTTTGGATGTGTTCTGTGGTTCGGGATTTTGGCTATCCCGAAAATGGACTACTCCATATTTTATAAGGCTAAACCTTCACGGTTTGCCAGTAAAGCTGTGTTGGCAAAACATGGGATTTTAGCCTTATAATGGGAGGGAATTAAATTTAAAAATTTATTAAAAAAAAAATTATTATTTTTTTATTAAAAAATTAAAAATTTATTAAAAAAAATTTAAAACCTCCTCCCTGACCACCCTTCTTTACATATATAGCAGCTTCTTCTTGTGTTTTTGCAATATTCTTTTTATATCGAATCCGTTTATTTCCAAACCAATTACTAACTTGACTAACAGTAATTCCACATTTTCTAGCCAAATCTTCTTTAACTTCTTCGCTTGGGTAAGGATTGTGTATGTAAACATAAAAATATTCGTTTAGAATGTCTGTTGCTTGTTTGCTGAAATTGCGGCGTTTTCGTCTAAATTACGAGAAAAATTAAAAAAAATTTTCAAAAATTTTTTCGAAAAAAACCTAGCATCCAAAAATCTCGATCGTAAAACCATAACATTTTCACAAGTCGATTGCTTCAATTGAACTTGTATAACAGAAAATTTCTTTTGAATAATATTGACCATTCGATTCATTTCTTCATTAGATATTGGACGGATAGTTCCTTGTTCTTGTAATAACTGAAGTACGTGAGAAGTAAATTCTTCGCAGGCCTTTAAAAAAATTTTTTTTTAATTTTTAAAAAATTAAAATTGAACAAACATCCTGATATTTCCTCATTTCATCGTTATATGTTTGACGAATTTGTACTAATTTTTGTTTATAATCAGCAGTATCTCCAGCTTCCGGAGTATTAACGCGTTCAGGTCCAGCAATACCTTCAGCTAATAACATATTATCTAAGCGAACTAATTGTGGATCTTTAAAGAAAAATTAAAAAAGAAAAATTAAATGAACAAACCTCGAGAAAAATCGTCAGATTGATCATCAGGTATGCTTCGAATTGAAGGTGCTAAAAAATAATTTTTTCTCAGAGATGATCAGAAAAATGGTTGTTGGCGGCTGGTTAACCGAACCGTTTGCCGGGGGTCAGTCAGAAACCAAAACTGAGGGGTAATCATATCGCCATAACTGAGTTTTCGGTTAATAACCGGTCGCCAACAACAACAATGAACTTACAAGTTTTATTTTTAATATCGCAAAGGACAGCAAAAAGTGGATTCTTGAGTCGATGCTGCATTAATTGACTTTTACTTTAAATTTAAAAAATTAAAATAGAGTTATCTAAAAAAAACCTCCGTTTAACAGTATCAGTAATATCAATAGATTCATTAGAAATTATATTTAATTGATTAAGAATATCATCCATATTTCCAAATTGAGGATATTGAAAGTCTACAGCCATTTTCTTCTATTTTTGTAGAATTTTTGGCAACTAAAAATTAATAAAGAGATTAGATCTCTTAATTTTGGAGAAAACAGGAGAGGACAAAAAATATTTTTTAACACTGTTAAGAATATGGAAAACAACCAAAATTCTCTTTATTTTTCTAGCAAGAAAATCTTCTTTATTTCTCTAATCCTATACAATGCTTGTTTCTAGTAGAAAGGAAAAGATGACTGACCCAAATGATCACTAAAATAGAAGCAAAAGGAAGGAAAGGAAGCGAAGCTTTAGGAAAATGATATTTTGGATTTACAAGATGTGTAAAAAACCTCCCAAAAAGATGAAGTCATAAAAGTAAAACCGTTAGAGGGAAAGATGTGATAATCAATAGAATAAATGAAGGACAGAAGAAAGTGTAAAAAGGGCTAAAAAATTATTAATTTTCTTCTAAAAATATTTATTTTTAATTTAATATGTATTAACTAGCATACATAATTTTAAAAAGTTATCAAAAAAAATAAACAATTTTTTCCCTTAAATTTTTATAAATTGACTTGATCCTTCATATTCAGGCAAATTTAGCTTTTCTGAGATTCTTAAAAATTTAGGAGATATTTAAAATAATTTTATTAAAATTACTTTGGAGGTAGAAAACGCCCACCAATAAAATGATTCTTTCCTTTAAAATATTTAGCACACAATTTTGGGGCTGTGAGAGACATTAGTGAATCAGGCATAATTGTTGGTGTTTCATCTTCAGGTGGTCCTTTTTCAACATCCCAACCTTTAAAAAATAATTTAAATTTTTTGTATTGATATGAAAAAATCGAGAATTAAGTTCAAAAAATTGAAATAACCTGATGGAATATCAATAGAAAAAATAGGTACATCCTTTTGCTCGGCCAGTTGTTTAATAATTTGTGTAAAAGGTTCTCTAATAGGAGGCTTAAAACTGAAACCAAATATTGCATCAACAATTAAATTGAAATTGGTCAAATCTTTTGGTATTAATTCTAATTGTTCAATTCCAAGTTGTTGAGTTTGAATCTATTTAAAGATTATTTTAAACATTTCTTACAGTAGTAAGCGCGTTAAGCGATAGCCAGATAAATCTCCATTCTTCCTTACATCCCCGACACTAGACAAATCCCTTAGTATTTTCAGATGGCCGCAACAAGGTCAGGGAAACACGTTCACTACTCAAAAGGGAATTTTTCGAACTTTCAGTAAAAACTCATCGATACAATCCCCTCGCCCAGTCCATAAACAATAAGTGTAAGAGCCTGCTAACTACCCTTTTCCTTATATAAAATTTACAAAACTATGGGAAACCCCAAATAAATTTAAAAAAATACAATTAATCGCTGCATCAATTCATTTTTTGAAGGTTTAGGATTAACTATAGTTGGCGTAAATCCCTTAAAATAAAAAAATATTCAATAAAAATATTTAATAAAAAATTACAAAATGTTTCAAATGTCTGGCACAAACAAATCCATCCCCTCCATTATTGCCTGGTCCAGTTATTACAAGTACTTTTCCTTTAAAAAAAATTATAAGAAAAATCATTTAAAAATCACCTTTATTATAAACACTATAAATCGCTTGAGCACAGCTTAACCCAGCCAATTCCATCAATTGATAGACAGAAAAGGAATTAAACAATTCTTGGTCAATATTAATTGCTTCCTGTTGATTAAAAAATATTAGAAAACTTTTTTATAAAAATTTTTCGAAGCAAAAATTCGTTTTCTATTTTAAACAACAGCCTAATTCAGCTTTTAATAGGGTTGCACATCAACCATTCGGGTTACAAAGCTACGTGTTGGGGGTCGCAAATGTCCGGATTTGAATGTTAGTCAGGTCGGGGTTCGCGACAACGTTCGACCCTAACTTCA